CATTTCATTAAGAATTTCAAAGTGCAGAATTTAAGATTTTATACCCACAGCTAACATCATACTCAACATTGAAAAGCCAAAAGTATTTCCTCTAAGATCAGGAACAAGGTAAGGCTGCCCAGTCTTGCCACGTTTATTCAGCATAGTATTGGAAGTCCTAGCCAGAGCCATTAAGCAAGAAAAAGAAAAGGCATCCAAATCGGAAAGGAAGAAACAAAACTGTCCCTGTTTGCAGATGGCATAATGTTATAGAAAACTCTAAAGACCCCTTCAAAAAAACTGTTAGAACTAATAAATTCAGCAATGCTGTAGGATACAAAATCAGTATATAAAAATGTGTTGTGTTTCTATATACTAATAATAAGCTATCAGAGGTTAAGAAAACTATCCCATTTATAATTACATCAGAAAGACTAAAATACCTGGGAATAAATTCAACCAGGGAGGTGAAAGGCCTGTATACTGAAAACTATCAGATACTAAGGAAAGAACGTGAAGACACAAGTAGATGGAAACATTCCACACTCACGCATGGAGAGAATTAATACTGTTAAAATATCCATATTACAGATTTAATGTGACTCCTATCAAAATGCCAAAGGCATTTTTCACAGAAGTTGAGTTTACAGTCCTAAAAGTTGTATGGAACTACAAAAGACCCCAAATTACCAATCTTGAGAAAGAACAAAGCTAGAGGTATCACACTTTGCAATCTCAAAGTGTACTACAGAAGCTGTAGTCATGAAAGCAGTGTGGCGCTGGCATAACCACGACAGAGCAGAATAGAGAGCCCAGAAATAAACCTACACGTAATGTGATCAATTAACTTACAGCAGTGAAGCCAAGAATACAGATGGTCCCCAACGTATGATGGCTTCACTTTGGATTTTTCAAGTTTACGATGGTGCAAAAGCAATAAGCATTCAGTAAAAATTGTATTTTGAATTTTGATCTTTTCCCAGATATGATACGTGGTACGAAATTCTCCTATGATGCTGGGCAGCTCCCAGTCGGCTGTGCAGTCATGAGGGTGACCAGCCAGCGTGCTTACAACCATCTTGTACCCAGCCAGCCATTCTGTTTTTCATTTTCAGTACAGTATTTAGTAAATTACATGAGATATTCAAATTTTATTATAAAATGGGCTTTGCATTAGATGATTTTGCCCAAGCGCAGGCTAATCTGTGTTTTGAGCAGATTTAAGGTAGCCTAGGGTAAGCTGTGATGCTTAGCAGGTTGGGTGTATTAAGTGTATCGAGTTTATCAAGACACAACCCCACCATTAAGTCGAGGAAGATCTTTATACAGTGGGGGAAGGACAGTCTCTTCGATAAATAGTGTTCAGAAAATTGGACAGCTGCATGCAAAAGAATTAAATTAAAGTGCTATCTTACACCAACACAAAAATTAACTCAAAATGGATTAAAGATTTGAATATAAGACCTGAAGCCATAAAACTAGGTGGTAAGCATAGGTGGTAAGGACCTTGACATCAGTCTTAGTGATGATTTTTTAAATCTGACATTAAAACTAAAGCAACAAAAGTGAAAATAAAATGGGACTATCAAGCTAAAAACTTTCTGCATAGCAAAGAAAACCGTCAACCTACTGAATGGTAAAAAATTTGCAAATCATATTGGTAAGGGGTTAATATCCAAGGATATATAAAAAACTCATGCAATTCAATTACAATAACCAAACAAAAGAAAACCCCAATCCATTTAAAAAATGGGCAGAACATCTGACAGACATTTTTCTAAGTAAGACACAGATGGTAAAGAGGCACTGTGCTGGCTTGAAGTTACCGGCATGAAAACCTGCGCAGCATCATTAACCATCAGGGAAACGCAAGTCAAAGCCACAGTGAGCGGCCCCCTCGCACCTTAGGAATGAATGGCTGTTCTCCAAATGACAAGAAATAACTTGGCTAGAATGTGGAGAAAAGGGAACATGGGTACAGTTGGTGGGAATGTAAATTGGTGCAGCCACGATGGAAAACAGTACGGAGGGTCCTCAAAAAATTAAGAAAAGAGCTGCTATATGATTCAGCCATTCCACTTCTGGAGTTTATCTGAATAAAATGAAAACACTAATTTAAAAAAGTATATGCACCCCTATGTTCATTACAGCACTATTTATAATAGCCAAGATGCAGAAACAATGTGTCTATCGATGGATGAATGGATAAAGAATTAGTGATGTGTGTGTGTGTGTACAATAGAATATTATTCAGCCATTAAAAAGAATGAAATCTTGCCATTTGCAACGACATGGAAGGACCTTGAGGGCATTATGTTGAGTGAAATAAGTCAGAAAGACAAATACTGCGTGACCTCTTATATGTGGAATCTTTAAAAAAAAAAAAAGCTCATAGATACAGAGAACACGTTGGTGGTTGCCAGAGGTAGGAGTCACGGTGGGGTGGGAGAAATGAGTGAAGGGGTCAAAGGTAAAAAACAAAACAAAACAGAAAAACCACTAAAAACCCCAACAGTACAAAACACAGCGGGGTATCCTGGATTGGATCATGGAACAGAAAAAGAGCATTAGTAGAAAAACTGGTGACATCAGAACAATGCAGGGAGTTTAGTTAACAGTGACATTAGCAATGCTGGTTTCTTAGTTTTGATAAATGCACTGTTAGGAGAAACCGAGTGGGGCTGTATGGGAAAATATAAAACTGAATATGCAGAAACAAAAAATACAAATGAAAGATTTTGCAGTCAACTCTCATATATGCGCTGTCGGTGTCATTTTTCTCCGCGTTCTCACGTAACGACCCAACTGCTTACCCTTCTCTCCGTCCACCAGTCTGTCTGCAAGGCGCCTCGCAGGTATCAGTACACTTCCCCGGAAGTATTTCAGCGTGCACACCACTAATGAGTTCAGTATGTTTATAGACAGTTTATGTAAAATTTGCCTGCAATTCTTGAGCAGACATTTGCTGAGTACTGACAAACACCTTTGCTTGTGTAACCTGAACCCCCACTGAGATGACAGAACGTTACCATCACCCCAGAAAGCACCCTCACCGTGTCCCTGGGCAACCAGTGTTCCTTTCCCACCACAGACGAGTTTGACTGTCCTAGAACTTCACGTAAATGAAGTTCTATTGCGTGTGTTCTTTCGTATAAGGCGTCTCTACCTCAGCACGATGCTTTTGTCGCTCTTCCACACTGCTGTGTGCGTTAGTGGTGCATTGCTTTTGACGGCTGAGCATCCTGTGAATACAGCACGGGGTTTTTTACCCATTCTGTTGATGGATGACTGTTCGCAGTTTGGGGCGACCATGAATAGAGCTACTGCACAAGTCTTTGGAGACACATGTTTCCATTTCCCCTGGGACTGGACGTTCTTGGCCATAGTGTAGGTGTACGTTTAGTTCTGTAAGGAACCGCCAAACCCATCCCAAAGCAGTTATGTCTTGTCTTCACCAGTACTTGGTGGCGTTAGCCTTTTTTATTCTGGTGGGTGTGTAGTGGTATCTCATGTTGGTCCCCAATGGATTTTTAGCCTTCATTTCAGTTTGGGGAAAATGAATGAAAGAAAAGAAGGGAAGAAGGCTGAAGCAGATGGTTCTGAGACTGTGTGCATTGCCGGCTTCATAGCACAGCGTGCAAATTCTCCAATCCTCATCCTCTCCACATCTTCTTGTTCTGTTTAGATAGTACAGCCTTCTTTTCTGTGTTCTTCAAATTCCTTTTTATGTTCATAATTATTTTAAACCTGTTTATTTCCAAGGATGTTCAACGGATTACTTACCCGAAGTTCTTTGGTGCCTAATACTGCTCTTTTGCTGGGTGTGTCTAGCTCATGCTTTGTGTGTGAGTGTGTGTGTGTGTGTGATAATTTTGGAGCGGTAGCTCACATTAAGTTCGGCTTTTCTGTGGGAATCCTGTCTGATCTGGTTTGCAGGTGTTTTGTTTGCTTTAGCCTCATAACCCAGTGATGTTGTCAGCCTGTGACCACTTTCTATATAAAAGCTCTTAATTTAGGGTTTCCCGGCCGTAAGAGATAAGAGGACTGTAAATTTAAAGCCCAAATCTGTTTGAAGACAAGCCCAAGGTTATAATTTCCCAGAGACTTTTTTTTAGACGCCCGGTCTAAGACAAACGAGTTCCGTTGCTAGTGGACAGTTCTTTCTGTAGTCCATTCTTTCATCGGGGGCTAGGGTAGCACCTTGATAAGTGCCCTGTTAAGGGGGAGTCCTTGTTCTAACCCTCTTTTCTTGCACAATCCTGACCTCCGCTTCTGTCTCTGGCTGGGTCTTAACCGTGACCTTGGCTGTCAAGGTTGGCAGCCCCACAGGGCACCTGTCTTAGTTTGGATGCTGTAACAAACGACCGCAGACCGGGTGGCTGACACAACAGACATTTATTTCTCGCAGTTCTGGAAGCTGGAAGTCCAAGATCAAAGTGCTGGCAGATCCAGTGTCTGGTGAGGGTCCACTTCCTGGTCTGTAGACGGCCGGCCCTGGTTGTGTCGTCACATGATGGAGAGAGAGAAAGCAAGCTCTCACATCTCTCATAAGGACACTAATCTCATTCACGGGCCTCCTGCGTGGCCTCAGTACCTCCCAAAGTCCCCGCCTCCAAATATTTGGGCTTCAACATACAAACTTGGGGTGGACACACGTTCAGCCCGCAATGTCCATCACGGGGCCCCTGCCCCACTGCCAGCGCCCTGTTTGTGTCCAGTCCCTGGAATTCTTTCCTTTCCTTTCTGCTGAGCCGAGTGGTGCATTTGAGTGGACGTTTGTATTATGTTTTCCAGTACATACAGGCCCTTTGTAGCAGGAGGGTTTCCAAAATGTTCTAGTCTTTCATGTGTCAGAAATGAAAGTCCAAGGAATAAAGACTGTGGCCTTCTGTGATGCTTGGAAATATCTTAGAGACTAAATCTGTCCTCAGAAAATGAAGGCACGCCCAATGCGTGGTGGAACTTTACATAATTTTGTGAATAATGGCTTTTTTGCACTAACATGTCCTCTTATTTTCTTCCTAGGGCGCAGCTCCGAGGGAAAAAGATTTTGTGTATCTGGGGGGCATCTGAGCGTTCAGAAGGAAACCAGACATGTCCCTGGATGACATTAAGATGAAATCTGCCGACTTCCTGGAGCAGGAGGACCTAGACAGCGGGGGCTTCGGAAGGGTGTCTTTGTGCTTACACAGAACCCATGGACTCGTGATTCTGAAAAAGGTGTACACAGGCCCCAAGTGCACCGAGTGAGCTGGGGGCAGGG